ATTTTATATATATATATATACACATATTATATACATATATAAATAAACACATAGATTTTAATACAGCTATATATGAAAACGTCTGACAGAGAGCTCACTTTTGTTAATAGTCTGATGCTGATAATTTCAAAATGTGTAATATCCCAGGTGATTAAACTGCCTGACTGACTGATTTATACAAGTCTATCATTTAAGTGATAAACTAGCTTCATTGACCGACGCTGATCCCAATATTCAGATACATATACATAATGACACATAATGGGGGTTGCCTAAATTATAGGAAAACAGAATACAGAGAGCAAAGCAGCGGTGAGAAAGGGGATATGAGATCATGACATGATCCAGTTCAGATGCAAACTTGATTTCCTGTGAGCCAACAGCACTTATATGAGCATGTGCACAACACACTGCGGCCAAACACGCACGGATAATCAGCCTGGACCATATATTAATTTATTACTACAAGTAATGTTAGTTCCTACTGTAAGATAAGCGATTATTAGGGATGTAACGATTCCCTCAACTCACGATTCGATTTGATTCACAATTTTTTTTTTTTTAAACAAATTATAAATTAAATGTGTCCTTTTATTATTGCTTGGACAAAGTTTCTTTGTGAATATGAAATAACACTATAATAATATACATTACTAATATAGCACTTGCATATTATTGTTCTTTTGTTGACTTTGATTGCTTCTATTGTCCTCATTTGTAAGTCACTTTCGATAAAAGCGTCTGCTAAATAGCAAAATGTAAATATAATGTAAAATGTAAATAACAAAACTAAATTGAAATTAGCCCCAAATCAAATAAATAAGTAACACAAATAAAAGAATTATCTTCATATTAACAAAATACGGCTTTGTCTGTGCTCTTTCCTTTTAAAATTAGAGGCTAACACTGCAATTTAATCATGATCCAAACAAAGATGCTGTATACATGCAACATGAGCAGTTTTGAAGCTAAATTAGACTGTATAATTTCTAAATTTGAAGCAAAAACCGAATGGTTTGACTTCAGGTTTGTGAAACCATACATAAAAAATATCTGCATGAAACAGAAACAGCAGAGGAGCTGAATGAGACGCAGATTCACTCTCTGCCAGCAGGTGGCGCTTAAAGCATTTCCTGGTTTCCGCTGTAAACAAAGCAGCGCTGCACTTATGAACTTTAATGTGCGTTATACAGCGGCAAGAGGAAAAGAAAAAAATATCATCTAAACTTTTCTAAAGACAGTAAGTTCCCCTCAGACATGCATTCATATAAACTCCTACCCCTAATTGAATCGCGATTTGTTTAGCATCTCAACTGATTTGAATCGTCACATATTAAAATATATGTGTATATATATATAACCGCCTCGCGGTTAATCGTTACATCCCTAGCGATTATACATTTTGTACCAATAAAACATAACTTTTATTGAGCATAAACATTCACTGCTCATCTTGAGAGCTCTTTGGAAGCTTGATTTGACACATGAACATGATCTCTGCTCTTTGCTCAATAATATCCTTCGACCATCCATTCCAGGTCAATCCCTGCTATATGAGCCAATCCTGAAAATAATGAAATTAATAATCATTTTACAGACACGCAAAACACTACAGATTTCATTCATAAAAAATTTCATTGATGCCCAACCCTGCTCCTGGCGATCGACTGTCCTGCAAAGTTCAGCTCCAACCCTAATCAAACACACCTGAAGCAACTAATTAGGGTCTTCAGGATCACTTAAAAATGAAAGGCAGGTGTCTTTGATTAGAGTTGGAGCTAAACTTTGCAGGACAGTCGATCGCCAGGAGCAGGGTTGGGCACCCCTGATAGAAACAGTCTTCTTAAAGAAAAACCGACATCAGTTTCTATATTACTCAACATCTCCTCAATATGGAAACTCCCTTGTAAACCTCAAGAGGCTGAACTTCTCTCCTATCCACTGACTGAGTGACTCAGAAATCCGGAGGTCTTGCAACAGATCGAGTTTTTCTAATACATTTGATCATTTAAACCTAGTAGAGACAAATGCGGGAAACTTTAGCAGTGCGTTTTCTTGAATAAAACCCATGCAAACCTGTTGCATTGCTGCTCAACGTGGCTAGGACTGCTCACATTTGCGTTCTCTTAAAGGGTGGATACTCTGAGTCTGAACCTTCAGAGAGGGTTAAAAGGTGCTGGACTTCATAAGGTGGCACATTAGGCCCTTTCGCACCGCTTTAGTTCCAGAACTAAATGTACGGTACTAAAGTACTGGGACGATTTTGCGCGAACTATTTCCCAGTACCATTTAAAGGGTTGCATTCGCACCGAGAGTATGTACTAAGAAGTGACGTAAGCCGATCGACAGCGACGTCATTTGTGCGCGGCGTTCAACAACAGAAACAAAGAACAACGTTAACAACAGGAGGATGGAGGACGCTGTGATCGGAGCTGTTTTTGTTGTGTCTCGCGGGTTTCACAATAATGGACATGGAAAGTCGACGTATACGTAAAGCGATTGAAAGAACGGAAAGGAGGACTAAGAATCTCCAACGACAACTGGCAGTGCTACATTTGCTACAAGTGCCTGCACTTCAGCATCCGTCCATCTATCGCTGTTCTCCAAACGTACGAAATAAGTTGACATGCTTACAGTATGTTTACATGGAGTTTTAAATCATGGCGGGTGAGGGCGTTTTCGTACGTGTTTGGCCAATCAATGTCTACCGATTCCGTCACGATTAGTACCAGTTGTGCTGGTTAGACCCTGCTCCGGAGTAGGAGCTAATTTGGTTCTCGAAAAAGGCAGTCCGGTACTAAAATCGCTCCCAGTTCCGGCGGTGCAAACACGCCGAAAAGTGGGTAGTTCCACAATTAGTTCTGGTACTATGAAAAGGTTCCTGCGCACCGCAGGAAGGCCCTATTGTGACATAATCTTGATCCGATCTCTCAGATTAAAGGCTATAAAGCAACTGTTTTCAGTCATGTCCAGTGCTACAAATGAGAACCTAATTAAAATGTGATAACTAGATCCCTAGAGAACAGAAAGATAAAACCTGGAAGGAAACAAGAACAGGTTGGACTGCAGGCCCTTATAAACCGGAGTCACCTGTTAAATCGACTATTTGGATGCATCAAAGAATGTCTAAAACAGAAAATACCTAAAAATAACCAAGTCACACGAGATTAAGTGGTTAACAAGGCGAACCAAACGTGTTATCAAGCCATAGGCTAACTTGTCATAGTTTAAAGACATATGATGCGATTTCGAGTTTTCCTTTCTCTTTGGAGTGTTACAAGCTGATTGTGCATAGATAAGATCCCTGAAGTTGCAAAGACTAAAGTCTCTTCAGAAGGCGGGCCTTCATTTGATACAGAAACTATTCGCGCCGTTCATGCCAGACTGGGGAGAGAGGTGTTGTAATAATTAAAAATATGTGAAAAATAATGTGTTTTTCAAACAACCTAGTATGAGAGCCAGTTCTAGTACACCTCCAAAACAAAATCAAGACTTTGGAAAAGAGCATAATAGGACCCCTTTAAGCTTTTGGAAAAAGAAAAAAAAATGTATGTGCTATTTTATTAATGTCATTGATCTATTCCTTACAAAAAGTACTCTACCATGAGTATGGTATCAAGTGCCACTTTAGAATAATAATAAAGTCAAAAACTACAAAATAACACAAATAGGAATAATAAAACATGAAAAGGGCCATGTGAATCTCTCTTATATTTAAGCTGTTTCTTTGTCACTCAGGGACATTCATCAGCCAACTTCATGAGATGCATTTTGGGATGTTTTTAATAACTGTTGAAGGTTTACATGCATGCTGGACACCTGTTGATCCTTTTTTCTTCACTATCTGCTCCATAGCGTGGATTTGTTTACATTTATGGATTTGACAGACACTTTTATCCAAAGTGTCTTGCAATGCATTCAAGCTATGGTCAAAGATGAAAAGGGGTTTTCGAGCATCAAAATAATAAAAGTTTAATACAGCTTTATTTTTTATTTTATTATTATTATTATGTTGGTACATTAGAATGAGTCCTATTTATTTATTTCCTGAGCAAAAATAATGACTATCATACATTTTTACCACACTCTAAAAAATGCTAGGTTAAATATAACCCAGTGCTGGGTTAAAAAGGGACAAACCCAGCTATTGGATTGTTTTGACCCAGCGGTTGAGTTGTTTTGACCCAGAGGTTGGGTTGTTTTGACCCAGCGGTTGGGATGTTTTGACCCAGCGGTTGGGTTGTTTTGACCCAGCGGTTGGGATGTTTTGAACCTAACCGCTGGGTCAAAACAACCCAATAGCTGGGTTTGTCCCTTTTTAAACCAGCGCTGGGTTATATTTAACCCAGCATTTTTTAGAGTGCATGATTTCGAGAAGACGCCCACTAGAATGTCATTCAGTAAACCATAGTTTATATAGGCCTACAAAAAACTCTTGTCAGGCATACATGACAATGCATGACATTAAAATACTAATTTAAATTGTCATTTAAAATCTTTACCAATTTTTGCCACCATCCTTCAAACCACTAGGCTTTACCCATTTGTTTTTAATCATTTAAAATACAATAAAATTTAGTATGATCACTTTTCTTTTATATATTTAAGATCAGAATAAGTATGTTGTTTCATTTTGACATAAATATATCTGTTACGCTGAATGACAATGGAACATTATATCACCCATATTTTGAAATTTTTTCACAAAAGGTATTTGAAAGTAGGCACTTGCATTTAATATGCTTTCTGTGTATATACAATCCCTTTTGTTAGTTTAATTTGATGCAGACACCAAAATGGGACATCTCGTCTTTGACCCATTTTCAATTGATACTTTCCCTGGGAACTGAACACATGACTTTGGTTTTGCTAATACAAAGCTATGGGAACATTATACTTGGTGTTTGATTTATAAGTTCAAGATCAAAAGGTTCAGATAATCATAATCATGAAAAAATTTATATCTATCTAAGTGTATAAAAACTTTTCACTTGTGGTATACCATACTGAAATTATAACATATTCCAAGGAATAACTCTAGGAGTTCCAAGTGATCATAATATGTCCAAAAACCATGCAAGTACCATTTTTTGTTTGCGTAGACTTGGTATGCTTCCTTTTTCTAACCATTTTGCAGAATGGCAGCAAAATGAGTCTCCTTTTCTTATTGAATCATTAAGAAACAATAACTTACCTGCACAAAATACTGATCTATTGAAAATGACATAGCACAGAAATCTGATGATAACCTAAAAGTGACTCTCTGTGGGATAGTACTCCAATATATTACTTTCAATATATTATATTATATTGAATTATCACATGTTACTTCCATTTATTTGAGAATACTCATTCAGTGACTAATCCCGACTTCATTGCCTTGTAGATTTCTACAACTGGCCTTGTCCCTATATCTGATCAAAGAACATAGTCCACATTTGCTGAAGGTAACAGTAGGTACACATTTGTTGAACAAATATTTATGAATATAGTGAATTTTAAATCAATATAAGGATAAAATTGTATAGAAATATGAAAAAAATAACAAAAACCTATTTGTAAAGTACAATCATTATACCTAATCATTAAAAAATACTGTGGAAAGTGATTTGTCATAAAATAGTTGGTTACAAATAATTTATTATTATTATTTATTTATTTGATCGCTTGCTTATTTATTGCGGGCTTCACCCATAATTTATTTTTTATTTATGAAGCTATTATAATCTTTGAATTCTGTTGTATAGTAATATGAAAATGAATAGCAGACCACCACAAGAGAGTAAATTAAACTTTTTATTGAGACCATTTTACTGAGAAATGACTGAGATATGTTTGGATGAGAGTCCACATATGCAAAATCTCTGTTAAAAAGACACTGAATCACTGGAGAGCAAGAGAACCCATGCTGTAATACTGACACTCAATTCACATAGAAGTCAGGTCAGGTGCGTCATCACCATCTCAATAAAAATATGAAAATGTTTTTTCAACTTTTTTTGTGCATGGTTTGCTTCTTTAACAATATAAAAACGTATAATACTGATTGCAAAACGTTGATTTAATTTACAAAACAAATAACTGTAATAACAATTACCATCCATAATAATAATAATAATAACAATAACAATAATAATATTTAAAAAAAAGAAAAACAAAAAACTAAAGAAATAAACCAGTCAAAGCCGCATCATCTTCACTAACACAAACAGCGAGCCTTTTTGTCTTTTTTTGAAATACCATTTTGGTATAATCTCATCTTTTTTTTGTCTGACATGCCTTGCGCAAGTCTAAGATCAGTCTGCATGTATAAACGGTCCTTTACAGTGTAGGTGGAAGCATAAGGATTATATGCTCTCTGCACGGAAAATTAAACAGTAGGCAGTTTGAGGCTTCTGGGAATGTGCACTTCCTCACCCAGACTGTCCTTTTCACTGTTTTCAAGAGTTATAAATACTCAAAATACTCCTTTATCAAGAGAAGCCAGTCACT